CTTTAAACCACAGTCATAAAAAAATTCTCTTTAAATCATAGTCATAAAAAGAATCACAGTCACCTTTGGAAATCTCTCAAGGGCTTTCGCGTCAACAAAGGTTCGACTAGATTAGAGTGACGCCACTGGGTTGAACCAGGACAAGCGGGCAGAGGCTAAGGGAATAAAGAAAGGTTTCTGTTTCTCGAAATCCAACAGCCAGAACCATCCAGGGGTGGACCAGGCGGCTCCCAGAAGAGACTCAGGCCTCCTCCCTAAAGGCTGAGGCTGAAGGGCCTTCTGTGGCTGCTGATTAAGAATAGAGCCGCGACCTGAGTGCTTCCCACTTCACGAGAAGTGGATGGAAACAGCATTCACCTAGGATTGTCGGGAGGCATCGGTACCGCCACGGCTTCCCGGGCCTGCGCACCGCCGTGGGCTGGCGGTGCTCACTCTCCATGTCTTGTGCGCTCCACTTGATTCCTCTGGGTGGTCTGAGGCTATTTCCACATCAAGACATTCCACGGGGAGCCCGGCTGGCGTGGCTCAGTGGTTGAGCGTCAGCCTAGGATCCAGGAGATGGCGGTTCGATTCCCGGTCAGGGCACATGCCCGGGTTGCGGGCTCGATCCCCAGCAAGGGGCGTGCAGGAGGCAGCCGATCAATGACTCTTCATCACTGATGTTTCTATCCCTCTCTCTCCCTCTCCCTTCCTCTCTGAAATAAAAACATACTAAAAAAAAAAAGACATTCCACGGGGAAGGTGCAGATGGGGATGACATTGTCTTGGGCCCCACAGCCAGGGACACAGCCCACTGTGGGAGGGGTGTCAGCACAGCGTCAGTCCAGAGTCCTTATGGGGACCCGCCTCAGGGAGGCAGCGGAGGAGCCGGACCCGCAGGTGGGTGACCTGGACCCAGGTGGGGCTTGTTGCTCCGCAGCCTCATGATGGTGCTGGGTGCCACTGTCCCGCTGAGGGTCTCCCAGTGGGCTTTACCCCCGCGTAGAGCATGGTGGGTGCGGAGCCAGTTCCTGGCAGGTGCCACACTGGGGCTCCTGGACATTGACGTGCCCAAGCCTCTCCCTGAAGCCCGGCCCTGTGCTTCTCCTGCCTCCCAGGCCCCCCCTGCTCCCCGCTGCTCCCGGTGTGGAGACCCCCTTCAATGCCTGTCTTGGTCTCCCACCCTTTCTCCTCCGTGATCTCCTCTCCTCCTCCTGCTCCAGCTGTCAGCCTTTAGCGGAGGCATTGGTCATTGCCGCCTCTCTTCTCAAGTATCCTGCGCACCGTTCGCATTGTCTGCCGGGTGAAATGGTTGATTCATTCATTCATTCAACATTTTCTGCATGGGCACTGGCACGCAGTAGGTACCCAAAGGTAGCTGGACAGTGAGAGCTCAGTGATGTCTGTTAGAAATTGTTCCTTTATTCTTCAGCAACTTCTTTCTGCACGTCTGCCACCTGCCCGTCCTGGGCTGAGAAGGGATAAATGGCACGAGGGTCCAACCCTCGGGAAACTGAAAATTCTACAGAAGGAATCGGACATTCAGGGCCTGATTATACACTAGTCAGAAACACAGGTAGTTATTGGAGAGGCTGAGCAGAGAACAAAGGGGCCTGTATGGTTGTTGCAGTCCAGGAGGGCTTCCTGGAGGAGCTGGTGCTTGACTGGACCTTGGAGGTCAGCTGGAAATAAGGGACATTCCAGGCAGGTATTGGGAGGTGGGGGAGTAATTCAGCCTGAGTCGCAGGACCTCTGTTTTTAGCACCATCTTATCAAGAAGGGCAGTGCAGAGCGAGCTGGTCCTTGACAGCACCCAGGTCTCAGGACACCACCAGCCCCTCAGAATCATCTAGTCACAGAACAATTAGCTGGCTTTGCCCAGCCCTAGCACTGTCTCTGGCATCCACCTGCCTCAGACAGGCTTGGTAAACTCAGGGCCACCTGAGGAGCAATGTGGGAACTAAAACTAGTCAGAAATGGATGACTCAGAGGCGGGACAGTCAGCTCTGAATGTCCACAGGCTGTCTTGGGGAAGGGCCTGGAGATTTAGAACCAGGACCAACGAGCCAGACTTACAGGAGACAGACAGGGGCTGGACCTAAGGACTAATGCCCAGGTGTCCTGGAGGCAGTGAGCGCTCCGTCACCAACGCCAGGGTGACAGCACTTGGTATAGAAGCTGGGTGGTGGAAGGAAGTTGAAACAGAGGACCTGAGAGGACCTTGGCTTGTCATTCTGATGAGCTGGGTGGCCACAGGAAAGAAAGATGATAATCAGGACTTTGAGGTGGCCAGAATTCCTCCATCTCCCAGCCTTGCCAGTCAGTTGACATTTGCCTGGACACAAGACATGCCCCATCCTCCCCTCTTCCTCCCATCTGGACCCTAAGGGGCAGGTCCACTCGTCCTACGGTGGGAGGGATACTCCACCCGGCTGAGGCTGCCAGTAGCCCTGCTGCTCCCCCCACTCCAGAGGGGACGTCCTGTGCCCTCCTGTAGATGAGACTGATGTGAAATGAGTCGTGTGAAGTCAGGGGCCGACGGTGCTGGAGCTGGGGCCGAGAGCAAACCTCCCGACTCTCGGTCTGGTGGTCTTTGAACACACACCGTGCCGTCTCCCCTTCTCTCCCCTGCTCGCTCAGTCTCAGTGGTGGCTGGAGGTGGGGAAACTGAGTTCTCACCACGGAAGACCGGTGCTCTGCCGCCTCCCCACCCGCTAAGCCCTGAACCAGCTCGGCGCTGAGGGGCTTCTCTCCGCATCCTTGCTCCCTCATCCTCAGGCGCTGGTCCTTCTGCCCTCACAATGAGCCGAGCAGGACTCCTAGGTTATGTGAGGCCCCTGGATTCCTCTGCCTCTACAGCTCTCCTTGCGAAAAGGAGCCGGGAGCTGAGAGGCCACACTCTCCTGCCAATCAGCGCACATTCCCTGCTCTCTCTGGCCTCAGTCTCCATTTCTATAACTGGAGCTCCCTCTGCTCAGCTCAGCCCTATGGCTGTTCAGGGTGGTCCCGACGCCAGGCTGGTGCCAGAGGATGCTCTAAGGGTCCACGAGGTCATGGGGTAAGGCTGGGGGAGCGGGGCTAGGGCAGGAGGGGTAGCGCTGCCCCCTCCCAGCCTGGCCTCCAGGAAGTTGCATAACAGATGTTTATTTTTGGTGAGGCTGAGTGGGATTTCTTCTCTTTAAAAAAAACCCAAAATATAAAACTTATTTGTCTGCAAGGAAGATAAATATCTTTGCTGAAAGCTCTTGGCCCAGCTGCCAGCTACAGTTTGCATAAAGCTGTTGCCGAAGACCTGGCAGTCTGTGTGCGTGGCTCACATGGTGTCATGCGTGATCCCTGTGGGCTGGCCCACCACCCTGGTGGCGTCAGCACTGGCAGTGACCCTCAGAAATGGCCTTCTGAAGCTGCTTCCAGGCTCACTCACCTCCACCCCCTTTTTTTCAGTGCCTGGGAGAGGGAGGTGACAATGACAGAGGCGAAATGTCCCTCTCAGCCTCCCTAGCATGAAGAGAGTCCCTGTGTACACAGAGAGCCAGGGTAGAGAGTGAACCTGAAGCCTGGGCCTCTGGAATCTGGGTGGAGTCAGGAAACCTGGGCTAGAGGCATCTTCTTGGCACTTAATGCCCGCCACTTGGACCTATTCCCAGAAGAGAAACTGAGGGTCAGAGTGACCCTCATGCTTGTGACGAGCAGAGTTTGTGCATGGGAAAGGTCTTGTTAGGCGCTCCTCACATGTCTCACCAATCTGTTAGGTTATCTTACTCCACAAGAGTCAGACAGGGAATGTGGCTCAGAGAGGGGCTCACACCCATCTCCAGACACCAGTCCCAACGCCCCACCCACAGTGCCCCACATGCTTTTGCTCCCAGATGCCCCATGGAGTGTCTGCCCAGTTGGAGGACTTCTCCAAGGTCAGTTCTCTGCTACTTGCAAGCCCAGACCAGACTGGGAATAACACCGGCAGAAACTTACCAGCCAGCACTGTGCCAAGTGCTTTACATGGTGGCTCTTTAATCCTACAGCTACCCTATAAGGATTCCTGTCCTACAGGCATCTTCATCCCCATTATATAGAGGAGGAAAGTGAGGCACAAAGAGGTTAAGTGAACTGTCCAAAGCACACAGCTGGTGAGTCTTCCCTGTGAGATTCACACCATGGTGCCTGGCTCCAGAGCCCACACTCCAACCCCTGAGGCCATTGTGTGTGACCAGGGTGCTAACTGGACTATTTGGACATGGACAAGCTACTCCCTGCCCCACCTTCCCACCCAGGCCTCTGCCGCCTCATCCTTGACCTGCATGAGCTGGAGCTTTCCAGCTCGGAACTTCTAAGAACCAGCGGGCGGAGCCCCATTCTGATAGATGCAGTGGCTGTGGGCCTGGGCCTGGACCTCAAGCTTTGTGTAAATCTACCAGGGCCCACGTGGAGGGGGCGGACGCTGCTTGGCCAATTGGTGAGACCAGTGGAGGGCAAGGGGATATGGACTTTTGGAGAAGAATCTCCACAATTCCTAATGAACCCCCAAAAGGGTCAGGCCAGGAAAGGAGGGGCATTTCTGCCTGTCTCAACGCTGGCCTCTCCTCCCCCTTCTGGTTCAGTTGGGCCAGGAATGACCGCTGAATGAGTTTTCCCTTCCACCCTGGGGAGTTTGAGGTAGAGTCAGCATCCTCGATACCCAAAGGAGAAGTTTTGGCAAAGGGGATCCTTCTATAGAGAGGAGACTGGGGCCAGTAGAGTGGGAATTAAAGGTCACAGAGGTCATATTGACTGACCCAGTCACAAAACACTGATGCTAAAAGGGGCCCATTTTGAGATGATGGTAAAGAGGCTCAGAGAAGGAAGGGGACTTGCCCAAGGTCACACAGCATGGTAATGGCAAGCCAAGATTAGAAACCAGGCCTCCTGACCTCACATCCAGTGTGTCCCTGAGAGAAACAAGGCAGGGGATGGCACAGTCATCCCACCCTCCTCTCTTACTTGATTCAGCCATTGGTTTCTGATCTTGTTTCCTCCCCCCTCAGCCAAAGAGAGCTCCCTGAGTGAGCCAGAGCTACCGCCTGACTCTGACACTGTGGGGATGGACAGCAGCTACCTCAGTGTGAAGGAGGCTGGGGTGAAGGGGCCCCAGGACCAGGCCAGCGCCGACCTCCCCAGCCCGCTGGAAAAGGCTGACTCAGAGAGCAACAAGGGCAAGAAGCGGCGGAACCGAACCACCTTCACCAGCTACCAGTTGGAGGAACTGGAGAAGGTCTTCCAGAAGACTCACTACCCCGACGTGTATGCGAGGGAGCAGCTGGCCATGAGGACAGACCTCACCGAGGCCCGCGTGCAGGTCAGTGAGGGTGTCCAAGGTGGGTAGGAGAGCACCCTGCCCTTGGACTGGTGGCTGGAGCCGAGATTGGCTGACTGTCCCTCAACCACACTCTCCTAAGTCCAAGGAGAGCCCCACAGGCTACTACCCTGCCCCTAATGCCCCTGCTCCAAGTCTTCTTTTATCCACTTTAATGTTAGGCTTCTTGCTCTGGATGGAGCAGGAGTGAAAGAAGCAGAGCACTTTAGAGGGGCAGGAAGCCTGTTAGCTGTATTTCTGGGCTCTAAGTGGTGTGAGAGTCTAGGCGATTTCATGAAGAAGATGACTGCTCTCTGCTCTGGAAGGCCTATCTCTTGGAAAAGAAACAGGATAAACTTAAAGACATCCACAGCAGCCCAATGGGGAGAGACAGAGAATAATCCAGCTCTTCCTTCTGCCCAGGATAGCCGCCTACTCCTGCATCTTTCAGGTCCCAACTAAATATATCTTCTTTGAAAAGTCTTCCTGACCATTATGGTGAAAACAGTAGCCCCCTGCCACCACCCAATCACCCAACACAACACAACACAACACAATAAAATCCAGCACAGCTCAATCCAATACAGCCCAACTCAACACAGTCCAACACAACACAGCACAACTCAACACAATACAGCCCAACGCAACCCAGCCCAACTCAACACAACTCAACACAACACAATGAAATCCATCACAGCTCAATCCAATCCAACCCAACTCAACCCAAAACAACACAATGCAACACAACTCAGCCAAGCCCAACCCAACAAAAATCCAACACAGCTGAATGCAATACAGTCCAACTCAACCCAAACCAACATAACTCAACACAACACAACTTATCCCAAACCGAGTCAACTCAACACAACACAACTCAACACAACCAAACCAGGTTACCTACTACCACATTGTCCTATTTTATCTTCTCTGTAGAAATGACTGGCTTAAATGACCTTACCTGTTTCTCTTCTCCCACTAGAATATGAGCCCTTGAGGGCAGGTACTGTCTGATTGTTCGTCACTGTACTCCTACCAATTAGAGGAGGCCAAAATCAGAACAACAGGGGCAAAGAATAAATATTTGTGGACTGATTGACCTCTTTTGTCCAGAGAGGGTGTCCCTACCTCCCTGCATGAAATTAGAGTAAAGAAAGAACCAGACAGGAAGCCAAGACCCCTGAGTATCCCAAAACAGGTGACAAAATCTGTGCATTAAAGCTCAGGCTTCAGCTTAGTACAGAATAAATACCATGCTCAGCCTGCTTTCCATCCCAGAGTATGTTAGAAATAGCAAATAAGGTGTTGTCATAGCAGTTTCTCCCCTCCAGTATGCTAGGGAAATCAACAGCTTGAGAAAAGGGGAATTGTTTTATTGTTGTTTTTCAAAGCAGCACAGCTCAGCTCAGCTCAGCTCAGCTCAGAAGGACTTTCAATACCAGGACAAAGAGCCCTTCCTTACTCAGCAGACCCCAAGGGTGCCCCCTATTGTATTAGTTCACTAAAGAATCTTAGGTAGAATTTTTCTAAGGCAATACAAGGTTCATCAGTCCCCACCATGTTCTTTTTAATAAGCAGAGGCATTTGTAATTTAGTCCAGAATCATTTTTATGTACAATGACTAATGTGAAAAAGGACTGGCAGTTGTCAGTAAATATGTAGCCATCAGAAGTGATTCTGAACAGGGGGTTGTTTAAGCCTAATTCCTGAGGGCAGGCTGTCTGTTGTTTTTTGCTCCGGCACCAAGTGAATGCTTGGAGAAGGAAGGCAGGGCAGCTGAGGCTTTACTGGGATTTCAGAAGCCCTCTCACACCCATTATCTCATCCGAGTTGGGATAACCAGCCACGTGACCTCAAGTGCTCGGAGTCTAGACAGGAACCCCAGAATCTGGCCTCAGCTCAGCCAATGGGTTTGGAAGTAGGTGGAGAAGAGGTTGACTGAGTATGGGACGTTTCTGTAGGTACTATGTGGGTGTGGGATAAACCAGTTCACTTCTGTGCAGGATGTGTGTATATATGTGTGTGCATGTGTGTGTTCCTCGTAGGTGGATGGCAGTGCCCAGGAGTAGAACTCACTCATTATTGAAAGGAGGACGGACCTTCTAGTACAAAACATGGACATGACACCGGGGCACGTCTAGCATTTTTCACGACCATCCAGCTAGAATAGTGTTCTCTCTGTGCGCGCGCACACACACACACACTCACACACACATTTATGCCTGCCTCCAAAAAGGAGTTGAGGCAGCTTATAATTAAAGATTTATTATTTTCACCTAAGAACAAGAACAATTTCATAAAATGGGAAGGTAATTATATAAAAAATCTAGACTTAGGATCATAATTGCCACTGAGCACAAATTTTACTTCTGAGCTTCCCAGCAGCCAAGGCAGAAAGGGAAGCCCTAATGTGTTGCATATTTTATCATCTAAGGGGGCGATCATAGAATTATGGGATGTGAGTGCCAGGAAGGATCTCCTGGTCCTCTCATTTGATAACAAGGAAGAAGATGCCTAGGGGGCGAAGTGATTATCTGTGATCGAGAGACTCAGGAACGTGACTTGGTGGCTGTGCTGAGACTAGGATCTGAGACTCCCGAGTTCCATCCCAGGGCTTCTTTTGCTTTAGTTTGCTGTACCAGGACACGTGCCAGATTGTTCCGAGACTTATTTGTGTAAAGGCAACAGGGTGGGTGGGATATTCATGTGCGTCAGACCTCTGGGTTGAGCCCTGAGCCTGGCAGTGCCCTGGGGGGCGGAGGGAATGGGGACAGAACCCCCTGCTTGTCTATGCTGTTTGTTTGGGGCCCACAACCAGCTGGTGGGAAGCCAGGTGCCTGGTGTAGAGGGGCGGTGGGGACAGGAGGAGGTGATGGGGGCCCCCGAGATGGACCTTTCCTGGGAAGAAGCCTGGGGTTTGGCCCTGCTCCAGGGGGCTGCAGGGGCCTCTCTCTGCTGTCTGGGATTCCAATCTACGCAGCTGGTGTCTGAAGACAATAAGACAGAGGCCTTCCCCGCCCTGGGCCACCCCGCCCGGGCCCCAGATGGGCTGCGGTTAGCAAGGCCTCTGCCAAGACGGTTGGTTCCTTGGGGAGAGGCCTGTGCGGAGTGGGCCCATGCTGGGGTGGGCCTGGGAACGGGGTGGTCCTGGGGTGAGACACGCAGAGTGGAAGGCCGGGACCTTGTGGCCTGCTCTCCTCCCTGGGGTTGTACAGGCTTGGGGCCCAGAGAATCTGGGCAGGCAGTGGGGGAGCTCTCAGAGTGCCAGGCTCCAGGGGTCAGAAATGGAAGGACACCCAGAGCCTCAGGATCCGCAAATGTCAGCACAGGAGGGGCCCGTGAGGATACCCTGCCACTCCCCCCACTTATGTGCGAGGAGGTTGAAGAGCAGAGATGCTAACTTAGCTTATAAGCCCCGATCTGGGCAGAAAAGCTCCAGCCTTGTGCACAGGGCGAGGCCCAGGGAGGAAGGAATTGCAGGAGGAGGTGGGCAGGTCTCCTCCCATCAGCCAGCTCCCCCACAGCTGGGCCACCTCCCACATCTCCATCTTTAGCCCTCAGCCTGACCCCATCCACTCCCTTCCCAAAGACGGTGCTCTCCCTGCTGCCTCTCCCTCGTCTGCTCATCTATCTTCCTAGATAACCAGGTCTCCCCTCTCCCGGCCTCCTCCTCCCACACACTCAGCCCCAGCCCCCCCACATTCCATCTCCCCCCACTCTGCTCCTCCCCTCAATCCCAGGCTCCATTAGGGACACTGGCCTCCTCCCTCCTGGCTGTGTCCCTCCCAGCCCATCCAAACCTGCTCGAGGCCTTCACCGGCACCTCTCTACCTCTATGTTCCCACACAGGGACCCCGAGTCTACAGAGACACAGGGGAACCCCCCCACTGATGGCAACTAAACCTCTTCTTGCCTTCTCCCCACCCCCAAAGAAAGAACGAAGCCATATATCTCGATGCCTCTGGTGGGCTTCTCCCCTCCCCCCGGCTCCCCCCACAGAAAACCCTGGGAGGTGGAGGAAGGAGCGGAAAGACTGAGCTAAGCCTGCAGGAAATTAAACATGAAATGAAAACAAGCTCCTCTGATGCATTCTCTCATCCTGCCCCCGGTCCACCATTCCAGGCCGCTGATAAAGGGGGATCCCGTTTCAGCCGCAGAGAGGAGACCTGACCCGCCCTTGGCTCCCAGCAGGCTCTGGGGCAGGGCTGAGACCCCAAGCCCAAGAGAGGGCTGGTCTCCAGGGAGGGCACAGGAAGCATGCTTCTCCGGCGCGGGAGCCAGGAGGGGGAAATGGAGCGACTCTGAAAGAAACGGCAGGCCCGTGTGTACGTGTGTGTGTGCATGTGTGCACACGTGTGTGTTGGTGTGTGTACACTTGTGCACATGCACACTTGGGACTGGGGGGGAAGGGAGAGGCAGCCCCACGCTCCCTCCTCACCCCGCCCTCCCCACATTCACATGAGATAGATATACTCCATCTTTTTTGACCCTTTCCTCTAGCAAAAGACAGTAAGAAAGGTCAGGAGCTATAAACAAACAAGCGTGAAGTACTCTAAGAACTGCGTGAAAATTTCCCATCTGTCTCCCCCACTGCTCCCATCCTCACCCCTGTGGGGATGTCAATACAGATATTGGCCCATTTTCCAGATGCAGGAACTGAGGCTTTTGACAATGCCAGCACTCAGTGGGCACTCCATTCCCCCCGGCTGCACCTGAAGCCTGTGCAGGCTGAGTAGCCTCCTCTGTGCTGCCTCATGGGAGCCCATCTGCACCTCAGGCCAGCTCTGCTCCCTCCTCTGAGAGCTGTTTTTGGAGACTACTCATGCACCTGGTTTGCAGCAGCATGGGTCACTGGGAAGGGAAAGCCAGCTCCCTCAGTGCCTGGCCCAGTGAGAGCCTGCCAGACTCCTCACAGCTCTGCAGCCACGGTCCTTGTCACTGCTCTGCGCTCCCTGTCTCCAAGGCTGCGGGCAGCATGCCATCTGGGGTGTACCCACTTGCACCCGGTCAGCTGGCAGGAGTACAGCAAGCTGAAAGGAAGCTCCCTCTGGGGAGCTCCAAGGTCTGCTTCTGACTCAGCCCCAGGCCATTCCTGGCCTGCAAACTGATCCCTCCTCACCTCCCCCTCCCACCCATGATTCCAAGTCAGGGCAGGGGTCGCTGGTTCCAGGTGAGCTCTTGCCCAAGAGCCTTGGGAAAGTTCTCAGCCTACCAGAAATGCTCCAGGAAAGGAAATGGACCCCACCCATCCACCATAGATTTCAGCTCCTTCACCTGACTCGGAGATCACCTTCCCCGTCAGGCCCCCAGTCAAGCCAACGTTCCACCCACCCATGTTCAGTGACAGGTGGCCTCCAGCCTCCTTAACATCAGGACCTCCTCTGAGTGAGCACTTGTAGCGTCTGCCTCTCCTGACAGCACCAAGGACAAGCCCTCCACTTGGCATCTGAGGACCCCACAGTCTGACTTCTGCTTTCTCGATTCCTCTCCCCCACACTCCCCATAATTGGGCAGCGTGCCCTGGTGTCTCTAAACTCAGGGCTGGACTTTCCTCCCTCCAGCCAACACTCAAGGCCTAGCTCCAGCCCTCATCTCCAAGAAGCCCTCCTTGACTGCCTGTGTTGCCCAGTTGAGCCCCTGTTGTCCACAGGACCTTTAACATGGGGGTTTCTGAGCTGGGAGACTATTTCCCACAAGAATGCTGCAGAGAGTCAGGAGGGTCAGGAATCTGGGCTGCTTGGCCCCAGGAAGCCACAGACCTTTTGGAAAACCGTGTGTGTGGTAGTCTCTAGTAGATCGATTTTCTGGAGGAGAATTCATGGCGTTTATCAAGTTCTCCACCAAAGATTAGGCCACACGTCTCCATAAATGCTAAGTGGCCAGGGACCCATTTCCTGTGTGTGACACTCGCTTGCTCTAGATTCTGAAGCTTAGCAAAAATGAAACTCCTGGCCAAGGTCACACCATGGCTAGTGGGGGGTAAGCTGCTCTCCTGACTCTCAGCTTCAATCATTCTAGATGGTAAGCTCTTGGGGATAGACACCGAAGCAGCACTTATCTGCAGCCCAAGGCCTGCTGGGGCTCATGGGATGAGCCTACACTGCCCAAGGGCACAGCCTCCTGACCTCTGAGACAACTGCTCTGTCCTGCAGGTCTGGTTTCAGAACCGGAGGGCCAAATGGAGGAAGAGGGAGCGTTTTGGGCAGATGCAGCAGGTTCGAACCCACTTCTCCACCGCCTATGAGCTGCCTCTCCTTACTCGAGCTGAGAACTATGCCCAGGTAGGTCCCTGCCCCGAGCTGCCTGCTCCAACCCCAAGCCACTCGAACTCTGAGAACCAGCACCTCGGAGAAAGACCGAGGTCCTCTGAGATGGGACTCGTGGCTTCAAGTTCCCTCAGGCCCAGTCCAACTGTGAGCCTCTTTACACCAGGATGTGGGAGACCCAGAGCCCATTCCATCCCATAAAAATGTTGCTCCAGGTTTGGCTGAGTCCCCAGCTCTACCTCCCCATAAATGCTTAGAGGGAAATGGGGTCCAGAGGTGGAAGCTGGGGAGAGGAGAGGGATCACAGCTGCATGGATGGGAGATGAGACATCCAGTCCAGTCCCCACTGCTGCCTGGGCATCCTCCACACCCCAAGGCATGTGGGTGGCCAGCTGGCTCCATCCATTCAGTCCCTGTGCCCATCACCTCCTGAGGCAGCCATTTCTATCTCAGATCCTCAGCCACTGACTTTGGCTTCTGGGAGATTTAGGTCCCCACCGCCCACTTCCACCCTCTCCACATCACAACCTACAAGTCCAGAGCCCATGTTCCCAAAGCCAAAGGTCCCCACTTATCAGATACCTAGGAGGTCCTGGGCCTGGAAGGAGCTGGAGGTAAGATACAGCCCCTGACCTTAATGAGTCCACAGAGACAGAGTCTGCAACTGTGTCCAAAATCAGGAAGTCAGTGGCTAAGGTGGGGGCTGTCCTCAGCTGGTTAGCTGTGCCCCAGCCCTGTCACTGGACCCTTGTTGAAGTTTGAAGTTCAGTCCTTAAAACAGAATTTCTATCTGCTGCTAGCCTGGCCCTGGGAACAGCGTAACCAAAGCATAAAACGCAGGCTCTCCGGGGGCACCTGGATGACCTTAATGTTTAGAGAGGCTCCCAAGTAAACACTCGAGAATGGTTTAATCATAATGATGGGCTCCTAAGTGGGGGGAGGTGGGGGGCTCCTATGTACGGCCCCACCCCCACCCCAGCCAGCCTGTGACTTCTCTCCCCTCCTCCTACCCAGATTCAGAACCCGTCCTGGATTGGCAACAACGGGGCTGCCTCGCCAGTGCCAGCCTGCGTGGTCCCCTGTGACCCGGTGCCAGCCTGTATGTCCCCTCACGCCCATCCCCCTGGCTCTGGGGCCAGTGGTGTCACCGACTTCCTGAGTGTCTCTGGGGCTGGCAGCCATGTGGGCCAAACGCACATGGGTGGCCTGTTCGGAGCAGGCCTCAGCCCAGGTCTCAACGGCTACGAGCTCAACGGTGAGCCGGACCGCAAGACCTCAAGCATCGCAGCCCTCCGCATGAAGGCCAAGGAGCACAGTGCGGCCATCTCCTGGGCCACCTGACAGGGCCTCTCTGGTCCCAGCCCCGCGCCCTCCCCCACCTCGGGGCACTGGCCACGCCCATGCTTTCCAGGCCCCCAGCCTCCCACTCGACTTTCCTCTTGGGAACCTGGCCTGGGCCAGGGGCCTGACCCTCAGCACTTTCAGCCACCCCAAGTCTGAGGCCCGTGGACAGCTGGGAGGGAGGGGACAGCAGGCCCCTGCCCCTCGCTGGCACTGAGGCCAAGACCCCTGCTCCTGGCCGGAGGCAACGGAGACAGCGGTGGCCCCGTTTCACAGCTTTGCATCCATTAGAAGCTGAAGACCCTTCTTCCCCCTCCTGCTCCTCCATCCTGCCTGGTCTGACCGCTGAGTCAAATTTAAATTCCCATCGAGACCCAGCAGCAGCAACGGTACAGTCACGTCCATCCTTCCGTGTGGATCCCGGTCACCAGGCCCGTGACTGTGTCTGAAGAACAGGCTGCCCTCCCGTCTCCTTTTCTCTTCCTAAAACCCTATGGGATCTGACCTTTTGGACCCAAGGCATCTGCCTCATCTTCACCTAGAATGGAGGAGTCCCCATCCTGGCTGTCCCCTAAGCTGGACACACCCAGAGGGAGTGGGCAGAGAGGAGGAGCTGGAGCCAAAGAATCCAGCTGTCACCCAGTAGTGCTGACATACAGGGTGGGGGCATGTCTCCACGCCCTTGGGCCCCGGAAACTGGATCTGGGTGAGCCCAGCAAGGGGACAATGCAGACCACCCACGGTGCTGGACAAAGACAAGCTTCCAGAGAGAGCAGGGGCTACAGGGAGGTGTCCAGGTGGGGCAGGGGATAGAGCACACACTCTGCTCTTCGGCCACCTGACATCTCCAGGCAGGATGGAGGAGCAGGAGGGGGAAGCAGGCAGCATGACAGCGACATTGGGCAGGTTGGGCAGCTCTGTTCTCCATCTAGCCAGGCCCCTCCAGGAGGGTCATTCCCCCCAGCCCCTGCCCCATCCCATTCTGGTCACTCCATGGAAGCACTCACACCTGGGACACTCAAGCCAGAGCCTGGGGGCATGGCGGTAGAGGGTCAGGAGCAGGTGTGGACTTGCTGGAGGACTATGTCCACGCTCGGCCTCCAGGCAGGCAAGGCAGCTGCTGCTGCCTCAGGCTGCCTCCCCCCCTCAGCTGTCTCTGCACATAACCATACCTTCCAGAGCCTTCCACGCAGGTGGGTGCTTGCGGTCTTCTAGGCAGAGGGCAGACAGAGCCTACCTTGACACTTCTTCCTCGGGGGCCAGAAGTCTCAGCCCCTCTCTCTGGCCTCTGGAAGGGCTTGCAGGGCAGAGCTCCCGAGTCACTTGCCCTGTTCTAGGTGTGGGGACAGGATGTCCTCAGGAAGTGCATTTCTCTGCCTGTAGGAAGAGGCCTCCTTCGGGAGGGGCGGGGGTCACTCCATATTTGCCTGGCTTGAGACGTGCAGCTTAGTCCCAGACATCACCTAAGCTTCTGGCACACAGCACCCATCCTCTGAGGCAGGCCTTTCAGGGCCCTGGGAGGTCCATGGCAGGTAGCCCCCGAGCCTGTCAGGTATGGGGGCTGTGACGCAGGACAGCCTGTGCGGTTGGCAGATGGGTGTGAGATACCCTGCCTTGAGCTGCTCGGGGTTTAGGAGAAATCGCAGGCTCCATCTCAACCTTATGCTCTCATCAGCTCCAGGATAGGACGAGAAGGATCTGGCTTCGGCCTCCCTCAATGCCAGTCAGGCCTCTTAGTAAACCGTAGCTCTGAGATCAATCTTCTAGAATGACAGGGGTCTAGGACATGGAATTAGATGTCCTTGAAGGCTTGGCTTCCCGAGTGTCATTTGTTTGAGGATCTTGGAGTCACTCTTAGGAAGCCTCTCTAGTTTGAGGTTCACTAAACTAACCCAGACTCCCCAAAATCTAGCAGGGGAAAGGAGCAAATTGCTTAAGGCTGTGAATAGTCTCCTAAATGCTCCAGTGGCTAGAAGGACACAAGAACTTTCACCAAAGGTGTGTTTTCACCAGGAGAGAATCAGTACACAGAGAAAGCCCCAGAGCAGGGGGGGGAGAGGGCAGGCGCGAGGTGGATTCCTCTGGGAGGGACCCCTGGCTCTCAGTTTTCTATGTGTCTGCTTTCTGGCTGGACTAGACTCAAGTCAGGCAAATTTCAACCAAAATGCCTGAGAAGGAAAAGCTTCTGTTAGAAGCAGTTGAGCTGTGGCTCTGGCTTGCCGTCCCACCATCGGAGCCCAGTGTTAATGATTAAAATATCTGTGTTCATCTCCCCATAGGTGGCTACTTACCCCCAGGCCTGTCCTTGCCCTGCCCTGCCCTCTAGAGCCTGCCTAACACTGACAATCACATCATTGAGCTGGGGGAGTAGGGGGGTGACTCTAGTTAGTTCAATCTCTTTACAGTGGAGCCGAGAAGACCCCGCCCCCAGTAGAGAAGTGACTGCCCTGCCATGGTTAACCAGAGGCAAAGGAGGCTGACAGTGGAGCCCTGTGGTGCTGCCCAGGCTTTGCCACGGCCTCAGCAGGCGGCTGGTGCATGAGGCACCCCCACAGCCTCACAACTCGCAGCTCATCCAGTGGCTCAGCTCTCTGCTTGAGTGCCTCCCTCTCCTCAGCCTTCTCTCTGGTTCTTTCCCAGTCAGGTGGCTGGGCCCAGGCCTTCTGTGTTCTAGGGTGGGAGGCATCCCCAAAGCAGCTCCTGGGATGCCTACGCGAGCTTGGGGACTCTCCCAAGCCAGGTGGCTTCCTCTGGAAGGCAGGCAGAGAGGAGAATCCATTGCCCTGTGGGTCACTGCTAAGCAAATAAGCCAAAGGTGAAGATTTCCTTTGGCCATTGATTTCAACAGAGATGGCGATGCAGACCTGAAGTGGTGGGCAGCAGGCAGGCCAATGGGCAGCCTCCCCAACACCGAGAGCCCCTCATCCTGCTGGGAGTGTCTTTGGAGCCAAGGCTTGACACTAAGGTGCTGCCACCCTCATGCTGTCCCTGCTCCCGGGGCAGGGAAGGAGGCAAGGGCTTGGGAGAAGGCACCTAGAGAGGCTTGTCCCCAGGTCTTCAATAGTGCTTGGAGGACGTGGGCTTTGTAACTTTCCCTGACTTCTTTCAACTATACTTGATTTTCAGCTCTCACCACCATGCCTCCAGCTCTGGGAAGCATGGAGGCCAGGTTAGTTCAAAGACACTGCAAAGGGTGGGGGGCAGCAACTGTGAGCTGGGGCCTGGCACTCACTGCTGTGGCCACCCTGGGCCCAGATCCAGTGTCCTTCCTGCCCTTATTCCCACTGGGTAGACAAGAGGAACTTTCCCAAGAAAACTACCAAGTGTCCTGCTCACGTGCTATTCTCTCTCTGGGGCTGGGTCTTGGGGAGGTCACCTTGGGAGACACCCTGGGGCTTCTGGTCAGCTTGATGGCCCTGTCAGGTGCAGAGGCCAGCAGGCCTAGCTGGGTAGGATGGCTGGCAAGCTGGCCCCCAGGACAATAATCCATGACCATAAACGAGAAAATCGAGACCACACACTCCCTACGTCTCAAAGTTGCGCCACCCGCTTCACTTCATGCGGATGCTGCAGAGAGGAAAGGTGTCCCCTGAACATTACCTAATCTTGCCCGCCCCCCACCCTTCTCTTACGACATAGAGCTAGGCCTTTATACTACTGATTTTGAAGGACAGTTTTGATGTCTAACAACCTGAGTGTGCAGTGGTCGGAAAGAGAGCTGAGCGCCAGAAGGAACATGAACCTCAACCAATACTGACTGTTCTCATTGTAAGATATGTTAACCCTGTATAAACGCAACTTTTCCTTTAGCTTAATGGCCTGGGGTGGATATTAAAAATATATATTAAAATACATTAAAAATTCAGAAAAAAATGTATAAAAAAATGAGGTCGGTTCCATAAAGTTTTACTGCCTATACCACCATGTAACAACATTACAGCAAAATATTAATAGAAGCATTCTTGCCTTTAAAGTAAGTTATTGCACTTACATCTTTTGGGGGAGGGGATATGGATGAGAAGAGGACTTGGGGCCCAGGAGTGGGGCTGGATGGGGAGCGGAAGTAGCCGGAGCTCCCCGAGCACCCTTGGCTGGGCATGGCCCGAATGGTCTGTTTGGTTGTTGTTTGCAATAAACTCCTTCTCCTTCCTCCTCTCAACTGGAACCTGTCTGTTTTGTTCCTGACTTGTGACAGATGAAATGTGATCAGAGGGGCCTCTGAAATCTCACGTTAATTGAAGTCGGCAAAAAAATACTAACAGTGCCCTTTTGAACCACTGACACAGTGCAGGGTGGATTACCAGGGCTAGATTAACAACAGGTGGCTGGTCAGGGCTCCCGCACAAAGAGGGGTGCATGGCCCGTGAGGATCTGGGACAGTCCCCTTATCCCAGGGGACCCGCCTGCACAGCCAGGTAGGGGAAGAACCAGGGCTACCAGTCTGCTTCTCAGGCAGTAAAAGGGGGTCCCAGCAGCAGCTCCTTAGCAGCCCTGAATCTCGAGTGTGTTCAGCAAGGCCTGTGCCTCCAAGTCTCCACAGGAGGCATGGCGGTCCCTCCATGTCACCGAGGTTGTTCTGGAAGTGGGAAGAGGGCCAGGATATGCAGGTCCATGGTGGGGAGGCCTGGCTGCTTCACACAGCACAGGACAGGCCTCCAGCAGAGGCAGGTCCTGTACCTGGGTTCTCCTTCTTAGTGGCTGAGGAAACTTGCAGGAGGTCCAGCCAGGTGGTTTTTAAAGCAAAGCTCTAAGAATGAATAATCAGGCAGGGAGGCCTGCAGAGGAGTGCTCTCTCGCCTTCCAGCATGAAGGTGACCCCAGGAAGAGGCCTCCAGGGAGCCCTGCACAGAGAGTAGTCTTCATTCACCAAAGCACCTGAGGCCGAGCCCTCACATCTGTGGAGGGGACTGAGCCCTATCCCTGCCCAGGTGACCAACTAGAGGGGAGGGTTAAGTGGGGTCATACACATGAGCTCACTGGCCATGTATCAGCAGTTCTTGTTCTGGCTGGGGAGCGGGTGGTGCAGTAGAGATGGTCTTTCTCCTCACTGAGGCCCAGACTCGCATGCTCAGCAGCTAAGGAACAGGCCCTCCACAAACAGCCCGTTCCCCAAAATAGGGCATACTGCAAGCTGTCTACATGCCCAGAAATGTCTACATGCCAGCTCCAGGGACAATGGGTGTGAGTCGACATTTTCCCAGGAATTCTGATTCCAAACAGATTGATTTTTTTTTTTTAGCTCAACACAGACCAACAGGCTTGGGGAAGGGAGAACTTCCGAAAGGAGCTTCAGTTTATGACCATGTGCAAGCCACGTGGTAAGGTGTTGCCTTGACTAGCTGGGAGCCAACCCGCTGTGGGGCCTGTGTGAGGTCTCCCTGGCTCCCTGGCTGAGGTGTGGTCCAGATGTGCAGAGGCTGCACTATTCTTACCATGCTCCTAGGGTTCCTCCTGGGGTTGTCCCACAAGCCCCCCCCCCAGCCCTTCTCTGTCCTCTACCCACTCTGTACCCCTAATTTCCAAGCTCTGTGGGAAAGGAGGAGCTCACTGTTGCTATGACATTAAGGCCAAGTTACACTACAGAAAATGAAAATCAATGAGGGTATCGTGTTGGGGGCACAAGGGAAGGGGATCGAGCCTGAGGAAGGATGAAATGCAAAGGCAGCCACTATCTCCTCTCCAAGACAGGCTTCGACCAAAAGCTCTGTTCAGATGAGAGCAAGGAAAGGACCAGCCAGGAAGCCATGTGTTGAAGGGAGAGAGACGAAAGACCTGGGTTTAAGAACTAACTTTGCAACTTATTAGCTTGGTTATTTTAGGCAAGCCACTAAAATTCTGATTTTCAATGTCTTCACCTGTAAAATGCGGACACCAACTCTCTTGCTCATCTCAAAAGGTAGTGAGAAAGCCCAAAGGGTTTAAAATATTTGGAAATCATGAAAAGCTGTGGCGACAGGAGGACTCATGCACCCTGGTGGTTGGGAGGGGCCATGGGGCTGACTTCCATCTAAGCGGCTAAGGGCAGAGTGCCAAAGACTCGGGTACTGTTCAGAGTGTGTCACCATACTTACTATGAAGCACCGGGAACCCCAATGTTCTATCCATGGGATTGGCAAGGGATCTGGTGGTAAGCAGTGTACTTATTCACCTGCTCAGGCTGCCATGACAAACTGCCACACACTGGGTGGCTTAAAGAATAGATATTTATTTTCTTACAGTCCTGGGGACTGAAGTCCATGAGCAAGGTGCTGGCAGCCTCAGTTTTTGTGAGGCCTCCCTTCCTGGCCTGCAGACGGCCACCTTCTCACTGCACCCTCACTGGGCCTTTCCTCTGTGCTCAGGCAGAAAGCTCTGGTGTCTTCCTTTTCTTAGGACACTAGTCTTATCAAATTAAGACCCCACCCATATGACCTTACTTAACCTTTATTAGCTCCTATAGGCCTGACCGGTGGTTAGGGCTTCAGTATATGAATTTTATGAGGGTATGTGATTCAGCCTGTAACAAGCAGCGTGGGAAGTGTTATAGGGGTGAGGGGAAGACGCGGAAATAGACAAGTGGCTGCTCTTCCCACCCCCTTATCCCGGAGGGTCTCAGTGGGTCCAGCAAGTTCCCAAATGGGCCCAGCAACCGCTCAGTTCAGTGCCATGTTACTTTCTACCTAAGCTGCCAGGTGGTTACTTCCCACCCTAGTCCCACCCTGCTCCACTCCATCAATACTGATGGCAACGTGACGATGCCAAAGACCAGCACCGATCACATCCCTAGCTGAACCATCACCTAAAAACCCTGCACACTGCCAACAGACGGACATCCCAGCTCTTCTGTTGAGCCCCAAACTCCTGTCCAGCTCACCTTTTCTAATTCCCCGACCTGGACTCAGTGCTCCTGCAACTCTGGAATTCCATTATACTTCCCCACCTGTTTCCTGTTACTCCTCTCAGCTCAAAGTGCCTGCCCCATCCTCCCCACACCTCTGTCCACCTACTGCTTGCCCCCACTTATTCATTCTCCAAAGCCCACCTCAAGTGCCACCTCCTTCACAAGTCAGAAGTGATCACTCTCCTTCCATAGCAGGGAATGTGTGCAATTCACCCTAATCACATGCTGTCTTATACAGTAGACAGGACCATAGGGATTTATCTCCTGTGCTTATTAATATGGTTACAAGCTCCTCAAAGGTGGAAATGGTGTTTTCTTCACCTGTCTGTCTGTACCACCTGGCACAGTAGCATAGCAAGAGCTTAATAAATGTCAGCTAGATGGCTGGTAAGTCTGCCTTCCACCTCAAGAACACAGCCAAAAACACTAAATTGAGGCAATATGACATGAGACAGCCTAGCTCCTAAGGCCCTAAGAAATCATCCAGGCTCAGGAGGGAAAGAGATACGGGTCCATGACAAAACCAAAAAATTGTGAAAGATGACAGATTTTAACCACCATTTAAAAAATAATCATCTGTATTGAGGTATAATTTATATAACATAAAATGCACCAATTTTAAGTGCAGAGTTGGATGAGTCTGGACAAATGCATACACGTATATAACAATCACCTCAAATTGTAGAATGTTCCCCTCACCCCCCCAAAAAAGTCCCTTGTACATCATCCCAGTCAACCCCCAGCCCCAGGCAACTGTTAATCTACTTTCTATCACACTAATTTTGCCTGTTGTAAAACTTCACCCAAGTGGAACTTACTTATTTTTGCAAGAGTACATGCATAGGTACGTACAGTATACACTCTTTTGTACCTGGCTTCTTTTGCTCACCTATTTTGGAAACTCATCCATGTTGTGTGTCTCAGTAGTTGTTTATTTTTACTGCTTAGTTGTATTCCATTGAATGGATGTACCGCTGTCTGTCTATTCATCTGCTGTTAAACATTTGCGGGGGTTCCCTTTCTTGGCTATTATGAATAAAGCTCCTATGATTGGGGGTTGAATTTTGTCAAAGGCCTTTTCTAGATCTATTGAAATAATCATATGGTTATTCTCCTTTATTCTATTGAGAACTATATTGATTTTCAAATGTTAGACCAACCTTGTATTCTGTAATCACATGGTATCACTCTTTCCATATATTGATGGGTTCAATTTGCTAATATTTGTTAAGGATTTTATCTATGTTCAGGAGGGCTATTGGTCTGCAGTTTTCTTTTGTTGTAATGTTTTTGTCTGGCTTTAATATCAGCGTAATAATGGCCACATATTTTCTATTTTCTGAAAAGAGTTTGTATAAGATTGGTATTACTTCTTCCTTAATTGTAGGATAGAATTTGCTAGTAAAACTATGTGACTTGGATTTTTCTTTGCGGGAAGTCTTAAATTATGGATCTGATTGCTTCAGCAGATACAGCGTTATTCAGGTTTTGCTTCCTCTTGAGGTAGTTTTGTCAATTTGTCTTTCAAATATTGTGTCCATTTTACCTATGTTGTATAATTTTTCAGTATAAAGCTGTTCATGTGTATTCCCTTTAATATTTGTAGAATCTGTACCTTTTGACCCCCAATATTGGTAATTTGTATCTTTTCTTCCTTGAACAGTCTAGAGCATTTATTGATCTTTTCAAAAAACCAGTTTTTGATTTTTCTCCATTTTCTATTTCGTTTACTTCTACTCTTTAATCTTTCTGTCTCCTATTTATTTTGGATTTAATTTGCTTAAGTTTAAGGTAGAAGCTTAAGTCACTGTAATTAGTTCTTTAATTTCTAATATAAGCACTTCAAGTTACACATCTCCAAGTACTCTACCCTACACATTTAAATACATCGTGTTTTCATTTCAGTCCAAAATATTTTCTAATTTTCTTTGTGTCTTTCTTAACCCCTGCATTGTTTAGAAATATGTTATTTCATTTCCAACTACTGGGGATTTCCCCATATATCTGTTATTGATTTCTGATTTAATTCCACTGTGATCAGAGAACATACTTATGTTTTCATTTCCTCTAAAACTATTAAGACTTGTCATATAATGCAGTTCATTTGTGGGAAAGTTGCATGTGCACTTGAGAAGCATGTGTACTCAGTTATTGGTGGATAGTGTTCTGTAACTGTCATTCAGTCAAGGTGGTCATCTAGATCTTTCAATCAGCTTGTTCTATCAATCCAAAACATCCCAATATAATTGTAGATTTCCTATTTTGCTTTCAGTTTTTAGTTTTTGCTTTACATATTTTGAAGGCCTGTTAGGCAG